TCAACAATTCAGCATTCGTTAGCCTAAGAGTAAAAAGCCACTTTGACCAAATTTGTTAAGGAAAAGGACAGAACTATGTGCTTTAGATGTTGCTTCAGTCAATTTAAATTAGTTTTTGTCCAGAAGAGATGGTGATGTTTTTGGATAGTGTCGACATATGGCTTTTTTGTGTGTGTGTGTGTTTTTTTTTTCTGTTAACAAAATATTTCATGAATTACTGGACAAATTTTAACGAAACTCACAGAAAGTGACTCTTGGATGTGCATCAGCTGACTTAAGGAGTACAGCTGATATTAGATGACCTCCCCAGATAACTGACCTTAACAATCACAGAAATTGCTGTAACTCGGGCAATTTTAGAGGAATTGAGTTGAAATTTGGTGTGGCAGTAGCTGAGCGTCATCTCCAACACATATTCAGAGGGCTAACAGATGGTGTGAGATCTTGTGGTTTTGCTGGCGATCAAACATATTGTTATTTACAAGTTTCCACACAAAAAGCTATAAATCCTTTGCCACTTTAAAGATGAACTGATCTTAGACCAAATTAGCATTTTCTGGTTCATAATAAAATAAAATAAAAGTGTGAGTGATTTTGTGCTGATGATGTCTTTTGCTGAATCTCCTTCACGTGTTTAAAATTTAAGGGTTTTAAGTCGCTTAAGTGGGCGGCACGGTAGTGCAGTGGTTAAAGCTGACATATAGAGAAGGTTGCAGGATCACTTTTCAGCCCGGGGCCTTTCTGGCGAGGGGTTTACATGCTCTTCCTGTGCACGTGTGTTTTTCTGTCGGTACTCCAATTAATTACAGACTAAAAAAAATCATGTTTGGTTAGTTGGTTTCTCTAATTGTCTCTACGGGGGTGAGAGTTTGACTACATGTTTGTCTCGTTTGTCTCTGTGTGTCTCTGTGATGGACCAGTGACCTGGAGACAGACAACTTCTCTCCGCGACTCAGAAAAAAGAAGCGGGTAAAGAAGACGGATGGATGGAAGTTGCTGAAGTGGTTTTGCATTGATCTTGACAAAAATGTGAAACGGGAGACATGTCCTCACCGTTTGTCTTCCTCTTTGCTTCATCTTTCATAGTTGGCGTGTCATGACTTTTCCTCCTCTGCCTCGGTCTCTTCCCTGCAAGCTCTGTGTCTCTGAGCTGCACAGACCTGTTGTCGTCAGATGATATTTTTAGCCCCATCGCTCCCAGCAGGACCCAACCTTGCTGCGAATGTCTTGCTGGTGCGGATGAGCCAGCTCAAAATGCAACACTTCCCACTCTCTTTACTTTCCCGTCAGGAAACGGATCGGTTACAGCTAAAAGGAATGGGAGCCGGCACTTCTGGGCACAATATGTGTGCAGCCTGTACTTGTACACACTTATAGAGATAAATAATGTGTTTCAGGGTGCATCATGGGTAAATAACCGTATTATGCAAAAGTGATGATTGTGGAAAGGTTTGTAAAACAGAGT